ATAGAGGGTAGAGTAAGCAGGAATGAGGGCTCGTGCTTGAATCTTGCGGCCCTCTTGGAAGAGAAGGATGAGCCTACACAAAAGACAGAGAGGAGCTGCCAGAGAAGAGGAAGAAAATTTGGGGAGTGCTGTATCAAAGTAGTCTAACATTATGGGATGAATTAGGTACTCCCCCCCAACCCCCGCAATTCATATGTGGAAATTCTAACCTCTGACTGGTGTCCTTATAAGAGGAGGAGATTAGCACACACAGAGGGACATTGTGGATATGTGTGCACAGAGGGAGGACTGTGTGAAGACACAGGGAGAAGGTGCCATCTACGAGCCAAGGAGAGAGGCCTCAGGAGAAACCAACCCTGCTGACACCTTGATCTTGGACTTCCAGCCTCCAGAACCGAGAGACAATAGATTTCTCTTGTTTAAGCTCCCCAATCTGTGGTATTTTGTTATGGCGCCTGAGCCGACTAATATGCCCGGGGAACAGCATGCCCTTAGAGCAGGCAGGGAGAGCCTTGCCTGGGCCTCATGGATAGAAGTGCCACATGTCACAAACGCAAGCGGGAATGTATGAAAGAACACGCGGGCCCTCTTGTCACTTGAGACCCAGCGCAACCTGTAGCTAACCATCCACTCTCACGGCTGACACTGCTCAGGCCCCAGAGAAATGCTTCTTCACGTCTCTTGCTCTATGCCCTCGAAACAAAAGATGACTGTGTCTGAAGATGTGTAGGCTGTGCCAGTCCTGACCTCAGAGACAGACAGGGCATAAGGGGAGAATTTGAGTGGTGGGAAAGAAAGGAGAATGAAAGAAAACAAGACAAATCAAGTTATTAAATCCTTTCAGATATGTTGACTATTATAAAGTCTTGTATAACAAAGTGATTGTTTCCTAGTCATGCTGAATTTCCACTTTTTCCTTCTCTTGGTGTTTTAATTTGTGGCTTCAGTGGTATTCGCAAATTACCTTGTTACTTACAATAATTGCATGGTGGCTAAGGAGAATTTACAATATTAAACAACTCATGCTATCCTTAATTTGTACTCATGTAGGTTTAGAAATAACAAGAGAGAAGTGTGATACCAATTTTTACACGGGCAACTGCTTGGACGTTGAATACTAGAATTGTGAATTGTTTTATTTTTAGAAAAATTTAATAAGGTTTAATGAAATTCAACTGACATTTTAAAACATTAAACACTTCAGTGTTATTGAAATCACTTTGATTAACAATTTTGATGTTCATTAACTATACCTTATATTTTACCTTTTAATAGCTGATTTTGAATACTTTAGAAAGAAAACAGAGGCTGGCCTGGTGGCATAGTGGTTAAATTGGCACAATCTGCTTCTGAGGCCCAGGATTTGTGGGGTCGGGTCCCAGGCGCAGATCTACACACCACCATGCTATGGTGGCATCCCATATACAAAGTAGAGGAAGACAGGCACAGATGTTAGCTTAGGGACAATCTTCCTCAAGCAAAAAGAGGAAGATTGGCAACAGATATTAGCTCAGGGTCAATCTCTTCCTCACCAAAAAAAAAAAAGAAGGAAAACAATTTTGTGAAAACAAAAAAATAGTTTTGATTTAGCAATGTTTTACTTTTAATATACATGTTTGATGAAAATATATTCAAATGTCACGTACTTGGAATACAATTGCATTTTATTTTTTAGTCTTTGAGATCCTTGTTGGCAGTAGAACATTAATTACATGAAAATTTTGTTATAATATTATACATTTTTTGTTGAAAATAAGGGAAAAAATTAATTCTGTGGATTTAAAATATAAAAGTTTATGAATTATGTACTTCCTTGTTTCATTACTCATCCAAACATTGCTGACCCACCAACACAACACTCAGACATGTGGAATAATAAAGGTTAGTCACCTTTGAAATTCTGTCTGTTCCACTCATGCAAAAAGCCATCCGTAGCCTACACACTTATTACATACGTTCAGCACTTGCATATTTCACTGTTCAGAACATTCCTGACAGGCAGGTGTCGATGCTCCCATTTTACAGATGAGGAAACTAAGCTAAATTTCAGAGATTAGATGGAAAGAATGTGCCAGCCCTTAGATTTGTACTGAAATGTTCCTGGAAGCTCTCTGAACCCCATACTTTTGGGATTTTTATGTACTTTGGGGATTTTTATGAAGTTTTATCGTGTAGGCACGATCGATTATTATCTCCATTTCCACTCCCTCCCCTCCCTGGAGAATGGGGGGTGGGGCTGAAAATTTCAAGCTTCTAACCATGGCTTGGTCTTTCTAGTGACCAGTCTCCATTTAGGGTCCCACCAAGCATCGCCTCATTAGAGCAAAAGATGCTCCTGTCACCAGGAATTCCAAGAGATTTAAAATCTTTGTGTCAGGAACCAGAGTCAAAGCCCAAATGTTGAAACAAAAGATGCTCGCAGTGTTTTCATCACTTAGGAAATACAAGGGTTTCAGGAGCTCTGTGCCAGGAACCTGGGGCAGAGACCAATATACCTCCTTCCTATTTATCTCACACCTACACACACACTTAGTTTACATTTATTTTTATTTTTTGACACCAGTAATATTTGTTTAATTAATTGGCCAATCAATTAATTAATAACCTTTTCTCCTAATGCTAGGCACATAACGGGCACACGATAAAAATTAATTGAGCAAGTGAATAAATAAGAAAACTGGTGTTCTAAGAGCTTGGGTGAATTTCTCAAGGTCAGACAGCTGGAAAGGTCAGAACGAGGGTGGGATCCCCCATCTTCTGATCGTCTATCTATTCAAGGTCATGTCTAGATAAGAACGTGACAGCTTCTGAAGCCTTGGAACAATCTCCCAGATTTGGACCTGGATCTGATGTCCAAGGTCTCTGGAACTTTCGGATGACAGAGCCCTATTGGATGGTTTTCCCAGGGATCTGATTCTTGGAGCGATGCCTTCCCAATTTAAGGAGCACCTGCATCATGGGGAGAAGCAGACAGAGAAGAGAAGGGCGCACGGGAGCAAGAGATGCTGCCCTCTCCCGTGGTGTTGGGTTTAGTTGCGATTGCTCCTTAATTAACTCACTTAGTCTCCTTTAAACGTCACCTCCAGCCCATCGGTAAGTTGAGATGGAGACACTCACCTTTCTCGTTCATGAAAAAATCAGTCTTCTAAAGCATTTTGTTTCTTTTCTCCTCTAGCCTTTCATACATGCCTGAGCCGTTTTGGGCTCTCCTGATATTTCTTGGCCTCGGTCGAAATCGGTAACTTGGTCAAACAAACCACAGAGTTTATAGCAAAAGCTCCAAGGACAGATTTTTGGGGAAAAATGCTCAAGAGCTCCTTGGCAAGAAGTCCTTGAATGTGGGACAGGCCACTGATGACGCTGAATGTGGTGCAAAGCGTAGCGGTGGCCGGAGTGGCTGTTTTTAACAGGATGGGAGGGAGGGCGTGTCCTGGGAATCCCAATTCTTCAGTGGAGGAAGCTGAGTGGAATAGCTGGGTCACATGGCAGTTGTAACGTTTTTAGACACTGCCAACCTGTTTTCCACAGGATGTTAAATTCAGGAGGGGAAACCTTGAAAAGCACTATCTATTAATGCCCTATTTGTCAACACGGCACAGAATAGCTGCCTAATGCCTGCCATCCCACTCCTGTTCCCTGGAGCTCAGAGCTTTCCTACGGCCCGAGGGCCCCGACCTGTGGGTACCGAGCAGCAGTGGAGGAGAGTGGAAGGGTGTGGGGAGTGCGGGTGCCGGGCTGTGGCAGCCTGTGCCCGAGGCCGGCAGACAAGGCGAGCTCTCAGAGTGCTCTCCTCCCGAAGCTGATGTCATGCCTTCAGGAAGGAAGGGGAAGGACGAGGAGGGAGCTCACAGTGGGCCCTCCCTCTCCCCCTCCGGTCACGGGACTCCATCAGTCCCCTGTCCAACGGCCCCCCCCCAACCCTGCCCTCTCTTGCCTCCTGCTTACTCCACCCCGTCCCTACTTGAGTCCTCCACGTCTTACAGATGAAGGAACTGGGGGCTCAGAAGGGGTGAGCAGCTCTGGACCACACCCGCAAACATGAGTCGGATCCCCTCCGGCCTTCAAGAGGATGCTGTGTCCTGGGACCCAGGGGGCGGGTGAGCTGGGTCTGAACAGCTGAGCAGAGGAGGTTCCCAGCACTGGGACCACACAAATGCACCCTGCACCCTCTGATCTCTGCCTCTCAGACTCCACCCAGTGCAGGAGACCTGGGGTCCCCAGCTGACAGGAGACGAGTGTGAAATGCTGCCTCTGCCTGTGGGAGGGCCGGCCTGGGGGTCCAGGTCCCACACAGTGTCTGCCTGATGGGAGACCTTTGCCAAATGTCGATCCTCAAACCGCACCTCCTCTTATCCTCAGTGTCTGACACTGGCATTTATCACATTGACACCAGCTCCACCATTGATTGACATCATTGATTGACACCATTGATTGACATTGAGCCACCTCCGCTCGGGTCCCTCCACCTCCCTCCCCGCCGGTTCCTGAAACCAGCAGCCCTTGAAAGGGCTCAGACATGGTCCAAGACCCCTCAAATTCACTTTCCCCCCAGGCCCAGGTTCCTGAGGGCTCTCCTCCCTTCTAGCCCCGTTGCAATGAAGGCATGTCTGTACCTCGAGCACCATCCTGGGCCACAGCCCTAGGCTTTGCACCCCACCTCAGCCTGAGCCGCAGGTGGGCCCGATTGTTGGGGTTCGCACCTCACATGAGCTCCAGCAGTCCCGGGAGCTGGGGGGGCCCACGGCCAAGGAAGGGGCCAGCCTAGAATCTTGGACACTTCTTTAGCATTATTGAAAACTCACAAACATCGTGAAGTTCACGTCGCCTCCATTGGACGAGGTGACCCACATTCTGCCCCAGCTTCCCTTGTATGCCCTCCTGGGATGGGCGCGGGGAAGTGACCCCGTGGTACTGTGAAAAGGTTGCCTGGAAGGGAAGAGCTTCCAGGAAGCCCCGAATTTTGCTGTAGAAGCTCTCGGCCTGCCAACGACACCACTCACCATGGCTTGACTTGTCCTTCTAACACCTCTACCCGCCCTCCAATGGTGGGTACCGGTTCTTAGCCTGGAGGAGCTCAGCCCAGGACTCAGGACCTGGGTGTCCTCCGGGACTTGCTGGCAGTCCCCTCCTCATCTCGTGCCATGTCCAGGGAGGCCTGTCCTCTGGCAAGTTTTTTCAATTGTGTCCTTTTGGTGACACCAAGTTGACAAGCTGATTTTTCAGCTTTGATTTTCTCCTTCACGTCGTTTTAGGGGATCCTTTAGCTCACACACTTCTTTAGACAGATTTTTGTTAATTTCCCTGCTGGTGTTAAGAGCTGTTTTCATCAATTTCAGCTCTCCCTCAAAGTCTGTCAAAAAAAAGTTGGATTTGCATGGCCAGCTCTTCCAACTTCCGGCGTTTTCTTGTTCTAGAGCGTGGCAGCCTTTGCTCCCTCTCAACAAGAGAACTCTCCAGAAGAAAAAAGCTCTGCAAGTGATATGCCACCAGGACATCAGGCTGAAGTCAGTCCCAGGCCAAAGGTCTTCAGGCCATGAGCCCACCAGCAGCTGGGCACAGTGACCCCTCAAAGGGACCGTGCTCTGAATGCCTCCAAGCACTGGCCGCCAACCACTGCCTTCCCAGTCGGCCCCTGATCGGCTGCTCCACTGGAAGATGGATTTCCACCTGGCCTCAGACGTCCCGTGTCTGGGCCCACTCTTTTGTGTTCAGGTTGTTCTTCCTGCCCTGTTTCCTGGCCTTCCATCTGTTTTACAGATCGAATCTGACTTCCCCCTGCAGTGCCAGGTGTGACGACTCATGGGACCCCAGAGAAGTGTGAAGGTGGACGCGAACATGAGGGTGGAGCACCGGATGTGGGCGAGAGGCCCCGAGGCAGGACGACTGAGTGGGTGGCACGCTGTCACCTGGGGCGCAGAACGCGGCAGAGAATGTTGTGAAGAGCAGGAGTTGTTGAAGGCTTGGCAGGCACCCAGCTTTTATAACCACCTAAGTGTGACACAATGCCTCCTTGTGACGTCACAGCCGTGCCCTTGGCTGTCACCGTGGCCCTCCTGTATCACTGCTCTGATGTCAGTCCTCATCCTCTATGGGCCTGACTGGTGCCCACTTTGTCTCTGCAGCGCCCAGCTCCCCCATCGCAGAGAATTCCCTTCACAGATGGAACAATTGGGAGTGGGGGCAGTGACCCACTCATGCAGGCAGCCCGCCAGCACTCCCAGAACATGCCGCGATCTGACAGCCAGCAATGCGTGAGCTGTTCATCACGCAGCATGGGTCCTGCTCGGGTCTCCCATCGCTGAAGCTCCACTCTGGGGTTTCCACCGTGACCTTAAGCATGCCTGGATCCTGAGGCTGCAACTTCACCCTTTGCTGTGCAGCCTCTCCCATCTTATAGCCAGTTCTGAGGCTGGGACCTCTGGGAAGGGACAATCAAGTGCAGAGCGGGCAGGCTGCTGGTGGCCCGGAGCAAGGACAGGGGAAGTGAGACTCCGAGAAGAGGAAGGGTCCTCACTGTGAGAGTCCAGGGCCACAGAGGGAGTAGGCTGCCTATCTGAGAAGGTGGAGTACTGTTCCTGGTCAGCACCCATCACCCCTCCTGGGCAGCCGTCTGCCCCTTCCCCATCCCTGTGGTCGTTCTTGAAGACTTCAGCCCTGCTCGCTGCTGGCAACTGTCATCATTTTCAGTGACTTCTACATCCACAGTGACAATCCCTTCTATACCTGGACTTCTGGTCCTTGACCTCCTTGCCTCCTGTTGCAAATCTTGTTGGCATTTTCCCCAGCAGTCGTTGCTTTCTTCTTCACTGAATAAGGGTAATACTAATAAAGAAAATGGACACTGTTCTAATCCCCCATTGTTCTAATCTCCCGATGCAATGGGCTCAGAGAAATACGCCCAGTTCCAGGGAATGAATCATGACGGGAGGAAATCCATCATGGACCTCTTCCTCTTTGCTGGCATCGCTTAGGAGTGAGGAGGACATTTGACCCAGTTCTGGCCAACAGGGCCTGAGCAGATGCCTGACACAGGAGGTGGGTGGTGTCTGGGAAGGTTTTATGTCTCCAACTAGAGAAAGGCAGAGGGAGGAGTCAGTCGTTGCTCACTGCCTTTGACCTGGGAGGGCAAGTATGTAACGTTGGCAGCTGTAGCAGCCAAAGTGAGACCATGAGGAAAGAGATAAAGAGACTCCCAGAGGAGCTGATGAAAGGCCTGCCCTCCTGAGAGGATGAATTCATCAACCCCAGAGCCTCCTGACTCTGGACTCCGCGTTGGTGAGATCATAGCCTTTTGCGCTGAAGCCACTTTGGGCCAGAAATTCTGGGACATGAACCTGAATACACCCCGGCTGATCCATTTAAGCCCCAGAATAATCTAAATATCTCTGTAACTGTTTCTTGTGCTGGTTCCATTTTCTAACTACCCAGATCAAAGGTCAAAGTCATATGTCATTCCCTTCGTATCCTCCAGGGTCCTAGCATCTTGCTTACCTCATGGCCAGTGCTAAACATGTGCAGTGAATAAAAGTGTATAATGAATGCTTGACAGTCTTGACTATCAACAGAGCACAGCCCTTCACCCAGACTAATATCTTTATAGTGTAAAATAAAACAAAACAAGCAAAAAACACAGAAAGATCGAGAATCTGAAAGACCCAGTGTGCTCCTTGTGATCAACACTATGAAACAAATCAGAGGACAAGTCTAGGCCTGGCCCAGGGCAGGTGGATCCTGAAGATGGAGGGTCTGTGTTTCTCCCCATCCCTGGAGCAGGGAGCCTGCCTACAGACCAGGAATTCTAGAAACTACCAGATGAGCTTGTCGTGGGATAAGCCAGCAAGGTGTTGGCACTTGTTCAGGCGGCTCCTGTCATCTTAATGCACACACTCTCTCCTTCCTATTCCTTGCAGAGCCAGGTGCCCATCCTAAGAAGACTAGTCTCTTGCCTCTCTTGAGCCCTGGTGTGGTCATGCACCTAAGCTTGGAGTAGAAAGGCTGTGGGGGATTTCTGAGGAGGATCTGGAAGGGAGGCAGCAGCCCCTTCGCTGCCGTCTCTTTTTCCTCCTGCAGGTGTGGAAGGCGCACGTGATGGCCAGACCCCTTCAGATGGCGCCTTGAGGATGGAAGCCATGGGAGGGTGGAGGAGCGGAAAGATGGAGACAGGGCCCTAACCATGGCGTGGAGAACCCAGACCTCTTCACATGCGAGAAAGGAACTTCACTTTCTTTTCCCTAGTCATTGTTATGTTGGCATTTTGTTATAGGCAGATGCGCGGATCCCCAACTGATCCAGGGTTCCTTCTCCACTCCACAGCCCCCCAGGGAAGGGCTCTACCAGGCCTGCATCTCCCAATTCGCTGCTGCGGTCCCAGGAATGGGGCTCCGCACCTGCCCACGCTCACAGCTTCTGAAGTCCTTCCTTTTCGGCTGCAGTGACTTTTTCCCAGCTCCCAGAGCTGGCCCATCTCCTTCACGCCCCAGGGCCTCTGCATGTGCTCCTCCCTCGCCCTGGAGTGTCGGCCTCCTGGCTAGTCCTGCCATCTTCCACTCTCGGTCATTCTTCCAGGGTGCCATCCCGGCCCCCCACTAGCTCAGACCCCCTGACTTCTTCTTCACTGTCCTATCACAATTGTCATCACATACAAGTTTGTGGGTCTCCCTTCCCCATGACGCTGAGCAACCTGAAAGCAGGCAGCCCCGTTTGCGTCACCTCTGTGTCCCCAGTCCTGGCATGGAAGGTCACACATTCCGAGTCACGGCCTCACGAGCCATGTGTTTCTGTTCTGTGAGGTCAGATGCTCCTTGTCAGCACAGTCAGGGCTGAGCGAGGATGTTGGCCTCGGTCAGAAGGCCCTAGCACGGACCTTCTGCCCAAGCCCTTTCTCACCGGATAATTGCAGGCAGTGACCAAGTGGGCATGATGAGAGACCCAGCCCCCAGGCCGTGGGGAGAGCCCCGTGGAGAGCATGTAACTGCTTGGCTCCCGCCTACCATGGGCCACCTTCTTGCCCATCACAGCCCCAAGGTGGATACACGAGTAACTCCGGATTCCCTCTGCTCTGGTCCTTGCTAGTTTGAGGAAATTCTTTCACTTTCCATTCTTGGAAGTGGCTGATAAAAGAGGTCACGGGACAGTCCACCAGCCTGTCCAGTGTCCAGCAGGGGCTCAGAAGACACACAGCGATGGCACTTTCCCGTCTGCTGTCTGGAGACGCCCTTTCCCTCCCCAAGCAGACACAGGCTGGAGATGCTGTGGGGCTGGGCCCTGGATGGGTGAGGTTATTCGGTGAGGCTGCAAGCGGGGCAATTAGGGTGGGTGCTGAGAGCCTGAGATGGGCAGAGGTGACTGAGGGCCAATGGGGAGGACCTCGAAGCAAGGAAGAAGTTCCCAAGTGGGACAGACCATGGGCAGAGTCTGAGTAGATGCAGTTCCAGGGGCACCATGAGGATCTCAGCTCTTCCTCAGATGGCTTGACCACAGCTAGACGGTGGGTGGGGGAGACATCAGGGGTTGGTAGGTGGTCTCTAGATGCTGCCGGCATGGGTAGACCCTAGGAGAAAGACTTGGGGTCGCTGGGCAGCACTAGAGAGGTTGAGGTGAGGGCTCTGGGGTTCAGCTGGGATTGGCTGAAAGGCAGAAGATGGGCAACCTCAAGGGCCAATCACACCAGGGCATAGGCGGGGCTCTCCTTGGTATCACAGGCCTTTCTGTGTCTGGCCCGGTGAAAAGTCCTGCTGATCTTTCAAGCCTCAGTGTAGACAGCCCTCCTTCCTGCTCTCCCAACCCTTACATTCCAAGTAGGTCAAGATGGTCCCGTTTAGACCCCATCCAGGGCCCTGTGGGGTCAAGTCATCGCATGCTCTCCACTACTGCCACTCCCTGGCCGTGTGGGGAGAGGCGTGGCTGTGATCTCCATTTTCCCTCAATCCTCCTCACCCTCCCACACACTCAAGGGGAAAGTGTCATGATCTCCACTGTCCACCAAACCTCCATGTGGTAGCATTGTCGTAACCTACATTTTTCATCAACCGTTTCACCCTCCCAATGCCCCATGGAGGAGAGTTCGTCAGCTTCTCTATTTTCCATCCAACCAACTTGACCCTTCCAACCAACTACGAAGAAAGCACTGTCAAATATGCAACCTGAGGGCCCAAGACAACTTAGACAACACCTTCCTGTTTGCTCAGAGAATGAGAGTTCAGCAGTGAATGAGAGTTCCAGTTCCTCCACGCCCTCATCGACATTTGGCATGGTCGGTTTTTAAAAATTGGGACCTTTGCTTTGGTGTTCAGTGACATCTTATTGGGGTTTTAATCTGCATTTCCCTAATGACTAATGATGTTAAGCATCTTTTCATGTGCTTGTGCTATGGAATGAATGTTTGTAGCTCCTCCAAATTCACATGTTGAAACCTAATCCCCAATGTGATGGTATTTGGAGATGGGGCCCTTGGAAGGTGATTAGGTCATGAGGGTGAAGCCCTCATGAATGGGATTAGTGCCCTTATGAAAGAAACCCTGGTGAGCTCCCTTCTTCTATTCTGCCATGTTGAAGACACAGCAAGAAGGCACCAGCTATGATCCAGGAAGGGGGTTCTCACCAGACCTAGAATCTTCTGGGTGCCTTGATCTTGGACTTCCAGCCTCCAGAACTGTGAGAAATAAATGTGTGTTGCTTAAACCACCCAATCTATGGTATTCTGTTACAGAAGCCCAAATGGACTAAGTCAGCTTGTTTGCCATCCATATTGAGAATTAGTTTTAAAGCTAGGATCAAAAACACCATGTTTGTATGCTGATGAGAAAGATTCATTAAGCACTGAAAAATTGATGACGGAGGAGAGGAAGGGGCGAGTAAGTGGAGTGACGTCCTTGAGTGAGCGAGAGGGTATGGGGTCCAGTGTACACACAGAGGAGATGACTTAGATACAACGTGGCTGGTTCATCTTCTAGATAAGACAAGAAGGCAGGTATGCGGGTTGCAGATGCTGTAGTGGGTAAATGGGATGTAGGGGGCAAAAGGCTCTCTTCTGGTTTTTTCTATTTTCTCAGTTAAGGAGGAA